TTGGATTGCAACTACCGTACCCATCACTGAACTCTGTACTCCTAGATCAGTTGGTCATCATTATCTACAGGTGGACTCTCACACTGGCTCATTTTCATCTAAATCCCTCCTTGGTCTGCTACCTTCTTATAACTCCTCCCACATCACGTCGTCAGCGCAGTTACAGCGTGCGCTCTCAGGCCTTAATTACCTGCAGCGTCCCCTCGGTGCAGACTGAACTCACTGAATGTAAAACGGATGTTGGAATAAATTAAACGATAAATTATCATTAAATTTAGATAAAACTAAATACATGACATTTAGTAACAAAAAGAGAACTGTTGATGATCCGTTTAAAATTGAGGGTGTTGAGATTTGTAGAGTTAATGAGATTAAACATTGATGAACAGCTAACATGGAAAAATCTCATAAATTCTGTAAGAACAAAAATATCTAAATCTATTGCAGTACTTTACAAAGTCAGGGAATTATTAAATGATAAAGCTCTGTACATGTTGTATAACACAATCATTGTTCCACATTTAATCTATTGCATTGATGTTTGGGGGAAAGCGTGTAAAACATTTACAAAACCTATTTTTATTTTACAGAAAAGAGCTGTAAGAATTATCACCAGAAAGCATTACAGTCACCCATCAAGCACATTATTTTATCAACTGAAGTTATTGAAGGTCCATGAATATTTTATCAGTTATGTACAGGGCTCAAAATAACACATTACCATTAAATATCCACAGAAATTTTGTTAAAAGGCAAAGTTGTTATAATCTTAAGGGGATAGAAATATTTGTCAAACCAAAATTCAGAACTAGTGTGAAGGGAAGGTCTACCTCAATCCAAGGAGTTGGATTGTGGAACGGTCTAGAGAGTGATGTGAAAAATGTCAAGTCAATGTGCACATTTAAGAAAAAGATCAAAGCTGGATTGTTAAAATATATATAAATATATATGAAGTAGCTTAGTGTGTTTTTGTATTAGAATTAGAACAATTAAAAAGAGTTATTCATTTTGTTCTGTTACTTGAAAATTATTATGATTGAACTAATTGTTTGAAAAAAGGGGCAGATATAATAAGATTTTTTCTTCTTCTACTGCCTTTCATTTTAAATCTCCTGTATTTTTTTATATTGTTATGGAATTGTTTTTTTGTTTTTTTTAAACGAATAAACTTTATACCATACCAACTCTGCAAAAAGCCATTTTCTTACTCTGCTCCTGGAACACCTTGCAAAAAGATCTGAAGCTGCCCACCTTGATTTATTTAAGGGATTTTAAACATTTGATAAGGTCAATAGAAAAATCTAAGCAAATATGTTCTTGTTTTTATTACTTTACCTTGTTTTATATGGTACTTTGATTTTACAACACTGTTGTTTTAATTGCTTTTATTGTTGTTTAATGTACTCTATATGCTGTCTGTCTAAAACAGGGCTCTCTTGAGTATAGTCTATATAAATCTGTGTAAATAAATAAAAATTAAATTAAATTAACACCACTAGGTGGTAGCGTTGAACCGTGAGGTTCTCCTTGCAGCTCAGATCTGTCCAGATCTGTCAAATCTACAAAACATCCTGCTTTCCAAGAACAAAAAAAGTCCAAATAACGATCTGACAGAAAACTAGACCATGCTTAAAACTCCACAACACCAATGAGCCAGTTGTTCTTCACGTGTTTCTCCTTTATTTCTGCAGTCCCTCTGGCTGGAGCCACTCAGGCACTCAAAGGAATCCCAGGAATGATCACCTTGTTAAGCTTCCACAACTCTCAGCTCCTAATCCTGCAGTGTGCTGCCTGGCTGGACGTGGGGGAGATGGAGATAACACGGAGGCTCAGCAAAGGTCGAACTGTTTGTTCCACACGGAGCAGAAACAAACGGAGGTCATGACCTGGCAACAGGTCGTGCAGACAAAATGAGAAAAGTCTGTTTGTCCACCTTCTTTCTCCGCTGTGCCCTGAAACAAATGTGAGAAACATCCTCACCCCTAAAAGTAAAATCTTGATTTGATTGAATAAAGTCTGAAGATGGCCGAGTCTAGGAACAGTTTTAACTTGAGCGACCTTCTCCTCCAGGTCAAGTTTTTTTTATTTTACCAGCAGAGATGAAGATAATCAGGTCCAGACACGAGATGCATGGGATTCCTGAGCTCAGCAGGAACAATCCGACTCGCCGAGCATGAAATTAAAGACAGAGCTGATGTTTCTGCAGCTGATTTCTAAAGATATACGAAATCGACTGATCCAGTTATTTCAAAACCAGGTCTGAATGCACGCAGGTCTGAGCTTTTACTCCTGAATATTTCCATTCTCTGATTTTCTTTACATGTTGAAAAACGTCTTTGTAACAAAGTTGCAACAATTTAATCATTTTTGGCTTTTAGTTTTTCGTCCACAGCGAGATGGGAAGCACTCAGAAGTTGAAGAAATGAAGGGAGACCCAGAGTCGTTCTGAAACCGTCCTCCCACTCAGACCTGGACCCTCGTTTGGGGATTTGAAACATATGGAGAGGAACTGGAAGAGAAAACATTCATCCCAGAGACGGAGTGGATGCTTTGGATGCTCGTGGGTCACAAATGATCCTTAATGATGAGAGAAGAAAACTGAAACAGCTGGATGGAGCCACAGCTGGACAACGGCAACTCGTTTTAAAGACTAAATGAAACGGTTAACGAGTCAGATTTGAATTGTTGCTCTTTAATTATTGTGTTTTAGAGCTTTAAACGTTTCAGGACTTTTTATTTTTCCATTACATTTTGTCAAACTAACTTCAAGTACTCAAAGTTTTCACAGACTCAAAAACAACTTTTGACAGTTTTTTTTTGTTTTTTTGTGGGGGGTGTTTGAAATGTTCACCTTTAGGGTTGGGAACTTCATATAAACTGGGAAGTTTTTGTTTTTTCCGCTATTTAACCGTGAGCTCTTATTTGCTATCAAGTTGGAACTTGTGGTAAATTTCCGAACTCCTCAAGGTGTCGACCTACTTTATGTGAATAAAATATTATTGTAATCGACACAAATCAAAATATAGTCTTTTAAAACCCGCGTTGTAATCCATTAATTCAGCTGTAATTCTTTGTGCTGTAATTCAGTTTTCAGTTCAGTTTATTTATAAAACTCCAAGTCACAACAGAAGTCGTCTCGGGCTCTGAACAGAAACGTTCATATATAAAAATAAAAATTGAACATTATTTATCGGAGGCGCAGCTTTGAGTTTAACTCCATCGCAGAACTCTCATTTTGAGCAAACACGAAGGCGACAGTGGAAAGAAAAAACTCCCTCATGAGGAAGAAACCTTTAGGAGAACCAGGCTCAGGACAAGCGGACCATCTGCTTCAACCGGCTGGGTTTGAGAGGAATAGATACACAATGGCAGGTCGAGAATCACATTAAGATAGGAATGGTATCAAATAAAAACTGTTCAGTTTTAGCAAATCATTTAAGGACATGAGGTCAATTTGTCCTCTAGTAGTCTAAGCTTAAGACAGCATGACAAGCCAACCCTAACTATAGGATTTATCAAAACTAAGCCCAGTCTTAAAACTGGACAATGTGTCAGCCTCATGGACAGAAACTGGAAGTTGGTTCCACAAGAGAGGAGCCTGACAACTGAAGGATCTTCCTCCCATTCTGCTTTTGGAAACATAGGAACTACAAGGAAACCTGCAGCCTGAGAGCGAAGTGCTCTGTTAGGAAAATCTGCTCGTGTCCCTGTAGGAAACTTTTTCTTCATCTGTGGAGGGCAGCCATTTTGTTTGAGGCTAAAGGAGTTTCTGTGATGCAACACTTGCAGATCTTTACTTTTCAGAAGTGTTTCCACAACTTGGTTTTCACTCGGCCCTGAAGCTTCCACTGACAAAACAATGAGGCGAAGGAAGAACGTTTCATTTGACAATCGCTTACAGGACGCAAACTCTTCTTTAAACTCTTACAGGGGATGAACACACGCTGGCAGAAATCATTCAGAGCAAAAAACACGTACGAGTTTCTGAAATCAGCTTTATTTCGTCTCAGCAGGATTTATAAACAGTCGTGTACAAAGAGGTATCGGCAGGAATCTGTCAGTACAGGAAGTCGTCACAGTGCAGCAAAACGATGATTGTCAACTCGTCTGACTCGGGTCAGAATTACTGCGACGCTCAGCTCAGACACAAACGAGGTTAAACAGTTTAAACGTGCGCACGTTCAGTGTTAATACTGCCACCAGCTCACAGAGTTACAGCAAAGCGTTTCCAGTTTGGCAGCAGTTCCAGAAAAACTTGAGTTATTCAGAAGACGTGTGAACATTTAGAAAAAAACAACAACATTTAGTCATTTTAGGAAGAGTTGATAACATTTAAACTGATATTACTGTGTTATAAAACTGGTCATCAAATTATATAAAACTGTATAAAAGTCCCTCATTTGCAGTTTCCTAAAAAACACACTAATGTTGCCAAATCAACTGAGAATAAATTAAAGAAACATGCTGTCATAATTCACTGAAAACACTCAGATTATATTTTCCTTCAGTAATAAAAAAGTAAATATACTTCATGTCACTGGACGGTATATATATATAAAAAAAAAAGGCATTTTGTGTAAATTTAATATATCTGATGTTCAAAAAGGCAGTTCTGGTTGTGCAGTTTTACAGTGCAGTTCATTAATGCTCAAATATTTATTGATAAGAATGTGTTAATATCATAATAAGGTAGAGAGGAGAAAATCCAAGTAAAGTAAAAAAAAAATAATAATGAGGGAATAAAGAGTTAAGAAGTATGTACATGTATAGTTTTCTGATTTCATTCATCAAAGAGCTGCTCCGATAATACTGAATGAATTTATGGACACTAAGACTTTGCCCAGAAGTAAAATCCAGAAAAAATGTGTCCACAGCTGCGAATAAACAATCATTTAGTAAGAAAGTCTTTTGATGTTTCCACAGATAAACCAGTGCAACTCCACAGATAAACCAGTGTAACATCTACAGTCACACACGGACGTCCAGCCTTTTGGTCCAGCACACAAACAAAACTTCATTTGAACTTTTTCATAACGTTAAAGTGGATAAGTTGTTGTCTTGACTCGAGGAGCGCTTGAACCCCATGGAGGAGCTGAAGTACGTCTCTCTGTCAGCGCTGATGTCCTCGTCATCATCGTCATCGTCATCATCATCACGCAGGCTGTTGAGCAGCGGAGCGGAGGAGCTCTTACGCCTGCGTCAAGAGATTTAAAACGGTTTGAACAGGAACACAAAGAATCAGATCCTCCCAGTGACTCCGCTGCGCGTGGCGTTTACCGGAGCTCGTTGCGCAGAGCTTTGAGCTGGCTCTGGAGCTGCTCGTTAGCCTCCAGCTGCTCGTCCAGGTCTCTCTGCAGCTTCTTCTTGCCGTGCTCCAGACGGTCGATCTCCTCCTCGGCCTCATCCACCTGCCTCTTTAAGGCTTTTAGACGAAGGTTCAACTAGAAAACAATGTAATAAAACATCTCCAGTTGGACTACTTTATTACTGATTCACAAATTAACAGGTTGTTATTCTCAGCCTTACAGAAACACAAATTAAAATCATTCTACAGTGAGAGGCGAGCAGCAGAGCTGGTCGTTTAATTTGATGTATTTTCCACCGTACACGTCGCACCACCTTATAAGTTGCATCAGTCTAAATATGTCTAATAAAGTGGAAAAAAACACAAATATGTCTTTATGACTTATTATTATTATTATTATTATTTGTTGGCTCAAAATTATAGTAAAGGTGTGTCTCAGTCTAACTTTTCCTTAATAAATGCACTTTAATGGTCAAATCAGCTGCATTTCAAAACCCGATTCAGCAGATTTGATGGTTGCTCCAGACGAACTGGACGAAGGTGGCTTCGTATGGCAAGCTGATTGTGTCATTAATAGTCACTTTTACTAATTACATGACACAACAGCATGCCACACTACTCGAGTGCCATCTAGCAGCTGAAAATGGTAGTGTTTAATATTTTCAGTCAGAATGAATGAAAACGGTCACATCTCAGCCAAAAATCAGTTTATAAACATGGAAAAAAACATAAATAAGTCGCTTCGGTGTACAAGTCGCAGGGCTTGTAAATTATGCACAAAACTGACTTATAGGCTGAACAATATGGTACATACTTGGTCCTTCTGGTCTTGCATCACATTATGTTCTTCTTCAACTTGCATCATCATCTCCTTAACTTTCCTCTCCAGCCTGCGGTTGGCCAGCTGCAGGTTGGCCCGCTCCCTACAACAAGCACGAGCATCGTCACTCGTTAACCAGCACTCAGTTTGGATTTAAAGAGAAAACACTGGTTCTACCTTTGGTTTTATTTGTGGACTATGAACTCTATTAAAGTATAAAACATATTATTGTTGGACTATTCAAACTTTTGCCAAAGTGTATTTCTCTCGTGCGACCTTCGCCACGTCTCACCGTTCCTCCCCCTCCAGACGCTCCTCCAGCTCCTGTATGCGAGCCTCCAGCTGGGACACCTGACCCTCCTTATTTGACTTTTGGGAACTTTCTAGATGAGACACTCTGGACTTCATATCTTTATTCTGGAGACAACATGGAGAGAGCGAGCCGGTGAAGACCTTTACTAATGCACCTTTGAGCAATAATTACATATGTGAACAGATGACGTTGATGAAAAATGAACACAATCAAATGAATGAGGTGATAAAATGAAGGGTGTGATTTGAGCGGATCTGAACTGCCAGGAGGAAGTGTACCTGTCTCTCCAAAGCCATCTTGTCACACTCCAGGTCCTGTCTGTTAGCTCTCTCCTGCAGAAGTTCATTCCTCATCTGCTCCACCTGTCAAGCCGAGTCCAGACACCGTCATCGCTACAGTCCCACAACAATTATCCCCAGACTGGCTCTGAGTCTCACCCACAGGAGAAACTCCCAGCAGTCAGCGACTCAGAGCGCCAAACAATAGGCTTCATGCTGTGAACGTCCCGGTTAACTGGTGATCTGGACCGACTGCATTCCAACACTTCTTTCGATCGTCATGCCGACTCATGAGAGTCTAAACAGCCTTTTATTTTAAGAGAAGATGTGGACGTTCATGCATCGCAAAAAGACACCAACTAGTTTAGGTTCAGCAAGGCTGGTTTTATCCAGATTAGTTTCTGGTTTAAGTTGATCACAATCAAAAACGTGTTTGTATCTAAACAGACATTTACAGCTTGATTGTGTGAAATGCTGATTAGGCATCCACACCGTTTCCTGTATTTTATTTTTCTGGTTTCTGGTTTTGAGCAAAATAACTTCTGCATACTTTGAGCTGTTTTAGTTGTTCATACATCAAAACGTTCGGCTCATACAGGAGACGAGCGCTACGACTTTTGGTTCTTGTAACTTTCAAGCTTTTCAAAAACTGTTACTTTCTTTACAAATATTTTCCCCAAAAGAGAAAAAAAAATCTATTTACAGTAATTCATTCAGTCAAGTTCCTTCTTTTACGCTACTTTTAGCTTTTACCTAGGCTTTTGTTGCCTTTAGCTCTTAGCTGCCATTCTGCTACTTTTAATTTTTAACTACCGTTAGCCTTTTGATACTTCAACCTTTTAGCTACTGTTCTACTACACCTTGTTTTTAGCTACTGTGCCATTACATTTAGCTTTGAGCTAACCTTTATATATTTTTAGCTTTTAGCCAGTTCTGTTAAATTTAACTTTTAGCTAACGTTTATGTTTTTAACTTTTAGCCATGGTTCTGGTACATTTAGCTTTTAGCTAACGTTTATGTTTTTTAGCTTTTAGCCATAGTTTTGTTGCATTTAGCTTTTAGCTAACCTTATGCTACTTTTAGCTTTTACCTAAGCTTTTGTTGCCTTTAGCTCTTAGCTGCCATTCTGCTACTTTTAATTTTTAACTATTGGTAGCCTTTTGATACTTCAACCTTTTAGCTACTGTTCTACTACACCTTGTTTTTAGCTACTGTCCCATTACATTTAGCTTTGAGCTAACCTTTATATATTTTTAGCTTTTAGCCAGTTCTGTTAAATTTAACTTTTAGCTAACCTTTATATGTTTTTAGCTTTTAGCCAGTTCTGTTGCTTTTAGCTTTTAGCTAACATTTATGTTTTTAGCTTTTAGCCATGGTTCTGTTGCATTTAGCTTTTAGCTAACCTTCTGCTACTGTTCTGCTACTTTTACCTCTTTGATAGTCATTTGCTACTTTTAACTGGTACCATTCTGCAACTTATAGTATTTAGCAAGCCTTTTGCTTCTTTTAGCTTTTAGCTGGCATTTTGCTACTTTTAGCTAGTATTTTTCTACTTTTGGCTAATATCTAGAGTTTTCCTTCTTTAGTGTTCAACTAGCATTTTGCTTTTAGCTGTAAATAGGAGAACATTTGTTTTTGTTTATTTTAAGCACACTTAACAAAATGAGAACACGTTTTATTTGATCAAACTGATTTCAGCTTTTCTTATCATTTATTAAGAATTAATAGAAAGTACAGCTTAAATCAAAGTTTTATTTAGTGCAGAAAAAAATGCAGAAGATGGTGACACCGTCTGTTAGTAGGTGAAGTCCCAACGGTTCAGCCAGCAGTTACCTAGTAAAAGGCAGATTAACCCGATTAAAATAAATTTATTTTTTTATGTTGCTACTTAGAAATATCAAGATATACTTTGATGTCAAAATATATTTAGTTAATGGTAAATTTCAAGTTCTTGAAGCTCAAAGATGTCCACTTCATTTGGTTTAACATTAAGTATTTAGATTTTTTTAAATCTAATTTATTCAACATGAAACTATTTAAATTGATGAACAAGTGAAGGTGATAATGTTTCAGCAGATCTTTTTAAATCGGCTCATTTTAAGTCCAGTTTCGCCAAATGTTGATCAGAAGCTTTTTAGCTGAATCCTCGTTTGTGCAGATCAGCTGAGCACATGCAATAAAGTTGAAAGATTCTTGAGAGTGATTCGATGATTTAAATAAGAAACTATCCTTCTACGTCGTGCGTCATCACTGATCAACTGTAGCTCGTTTCAGATGGAGCCGACTGCGCCTGGTTGAACAGGAGGGGGAACGAAAACTAATCGATGCAGCAGTGACGGTTGCTTCTTTGTGAGAGTGGCTGAGAATCGGTGATATTTTATGCCAATTAGCGGGTGACAGTGGGCTGCTCTGATGAACGATGGCCTCTGTAAGTGGTGCAGCCAGCGCGGTGCTGGAGGGAGCTGAATCAGCAGACTGGAACATGCAGCGAAACTAATCTGCTTTGTGAGAGACGGCAGGAGAGCAGAGAGGAGATTACTCTCATTTAGACAGGAGAGGAGCACCTGGTGCCCAGAGAGACGCAGGTGCTCGTCCTGCTGCCTCCCCGCCGCCCCATAGCCATACACCCTCCGCCCCACCTCCCCACAGACATTAGAGAGCACACACCCGCAAGGCATGTGTGTGTGCATTCACAAAAACACACCACAAGCACTCCGTCTTCTCCACTTGCTGTAAAAAGCTCAGATGTTGCCGTGACAACCGACCTCAGTCTCATGCTGAACTAATGCTGCCCCTTTTCTCTGTGCCAGGAGCCCCCCCCCCCCCCCCCCCACACACACACACACATACACACACACTTAGGGGAACCGTTTAAGATTTTAATTCTCTACCTCTCAAACGAGATGCATTTTATTTAAAATTCAGTCACAACTTTTGACCCAGTCCCACACAGGGAGGAAGCTGCAGCGAAGCCTGAAATCTGAACAGTTTTTCGATTTATTATCGCCTCTGACTCCATCCTCCCCCTGAACAGAAAGATCTTTCTCAAACTACGGTCCTAAAAACACGATCTATCTGAAGCCAGAGCCTCCGTCAGCAGTTTCGTCCAGGAAAACTGGAGCGTTTTCTCTCAAGCGAACCAAGCTTGTTTGTTCTCAGGCTGCAACTTCCAAATGAACTCCACAACCTGAAAACTTAAGACGTTTGGCAACACGCGTGTTTTGGCCCGTTAAGAAGGGTTTTTTTGTTGACGGACGCTCTCAGACCCTGCTGGCAAGCCACCAAACCCAAGTGATTATGTAAGATCATCTCACAAAGCAGTAAGCACGCTTTATTACAAATAATGATTTCTGGGGTGCGGACGGGACGTGTGAAGAAATGCACAGCTGAGCGTGAGCACAATCACATGCATGGAGTTTTGTGTGACACATTTAAGAGCTGGAGTTGTTACATGGAGTTTTGTTTAGTTTGGAGATTAGTGCTGGATGTTAGAAGTGAAGATGAAGCAACAGGAGACCTGGATATCATTTACACACGGAGGTGGAACAGAGACACGTCTGTGAGGACAGCGCAGCCGGTCGGGTGTGCACGATAATGAAAAGGTGTTGTGTGTGTACCTGCTCTCTTCCTCGGTCCACCCTGTCCATCAGCTGGTCTCCTGTTTGACGTTCTTCCTCCAGGTCCAGCTCCAGCTGAGCAACCCTGGCCTGCAGATAAGACATTACGTTTGAACTGTGAGTGACAGCTGCCACTTTACTGACAGGTGAGGTTTAAAGACATTTGTTCTGTAAGATTAAAGTTTTTTTTTTTAACAATAATTTCCACGCCACAGCTCATGAAAACATGTTTATTATAGCTTCATGCATCATCTCGTACCTCCATTAATTTGAATTGTCGAGACTTGTCATCCTTGTTCTGGTTGTTTTTCTGCGTCTCCATCTCCAGATCATGAAGCTTTTTCTCCAGCGTCTTCTCCCTGAGGAGAGCCTCGTCTCTCTCCCTCTGACACATCTGCAGGTCCTGCTCCCGCAGCGAGAGCTGAAACAAAAAAACAACATCTGCTCTCTGAATACCAACATACTGATACTGATTATATATAATAACCAGGCAATTAGAAAATAATGATTTTAATGGTTTAATGGTATTTCCTCCAGTTATTTAACAGTCAACAATGGTGTACCACAAGGCTCAGTCTTAGGACCCACCCTCTTTACAATCTACATATATAATGTAGGTAAAAACATCCCTGATGCATCCATACATTTCTATGCTGATGACACAGTTGTTTATTGTCGAGCTATAACAGTTGAAAAGGCTTTCCAGACAGATTTGTTCTGCCTCAAACTTGTCCTAAATGCCGACAAAACCAAAGGGATGCTTTTTCCAAATAGGAAGTTGGTTCCAGCAGTTCTTCCTCTGATTTCATCCTCAAATGGTGTCCCGACTGAGTTTGTTGATTCCTATAAATATGTGGGTATCTTGGTCGACTCACATCTTTCTTTTAAGCTTCATGTGGAAAACTTGATAAAGAAACTGACAGTTAAACTGGGTTTCTTTTTCAGAAACAGATCCTGTCTAACCCTGAATGCTAGAAAACGCCTTGTATCTGTGACTTTCCTTCCCTCCATTGATTACGGTGACATTATTTACATGAACTCTCCTACAAGAACCCTGCAGATGTTGGATGCTGTCTATCATGGTGCACTAAGATTCATAACTGACTGTGATTATCGTACCCACCACTGCACCCAGTATTCACTGGTTAACTGGTCATCATTAACTTCACACAGACTCTCTCACTGGTACATTTTCATCTTTAAATCACTTCTTGGTCTGCTGCCTTCATACATCTCCTCCTACATGTCTCTGCGTGAGTGCAGCTACAGCGTGCGCTCTCAGGACATTATTACCTGCAGTGTTCCCTCAGTGAGGACTGAACTAGGCAAAAGGGCCTTCTCCTACTCCGCTCCTGTTTCCTGGAATATCTTACAAAAAGATCTGAAGCTCTCGACCTTGACCTCTCTAAGTGGCTTTAAGAATCTGTTGGACTCCTGGCAGGGACCAATGCAGACATGTTCCTGTTTTTAGTTTTCTACATTCACCTTATAATCTAGCTGTTTTTTGTTACTTTTCTTTTTTTAGCCATCCTATTTGTTTAAAAAAATAAAATAAAATAAACCCCCAGACCCCCCCCCCCCAGCTGTATCAAAAGTGAAACACATGCAGCAAACGTCTAGGTTATGTTGTTGTTTAAAGTTAAAAGCATTGATATTGACAAAGTTGAGAGTTTTATGTTTATTTGACTGTGATTTCAAATTTCTTTGAAGGATAAATACAAATAAAAGGTGAACATTAATTTATTTGTACAGTTTTTCTGAGGCTTTTATATTGTTTATATCAATATCGGAATAATATCGTTATCGACCGAAATAAAGAAATATATTGTGATAAAAAATTTTGGTCATATCGTCCAGCCCTAAAGTGAAATAAGAAACAAGACTTGATATTAATATCAATAATCATAATATAATAATCAATAATAATATCAATAATAATCTTTCTTTTGTTTTTCCTTCGGATGAAGGATGAAACGTCTCAGCCACAAAAAAAAGAAACCGTCCAGATGACCTTTAGTTAATACTTTTCACATTTATGTACAAAAATCTATTTAAATAAAGAGCTGAGGTGGAACAAGTACAGATGTTTAAAGTTGGACTCTATTGGGGGCCTGCTCTGTTATTCTTCCTTTAAATGCAAAATAAATGACAAAACTTATTAATATTAAACAAATATTTGTCCAGGTTTACTACAGTTTTTTTTTTCTCCTGAACTTTTTTTAATCGTTTTATCTGGGTTCAATGTCCCACAAAGACTGATGCTATAAATTAATTTGCAACTCGTGCAGACGAAGCCACTTGTTGAAATTTCTTTCAACATTCCACCGGCTGAATTTGCAGCTGTAGTAAAATCCAACATTTTAGCTGCTGTTTAGAGGAAATATTGTCCGTCTCCCTCGAGTGATTACTAAATCAGAGCAGCTATTATTTTCCTTCAAAGGAAGAGCACCCCCACCCACCCACCCCCCGCAGCTGCAAAAATTGTCCCCACTGTTTACCAGCAGGACACATTTATCAGTTGTCCTAATTTCAAACCAGCGACATCCTTTTTTTTTTTCACTTTGAAATTATAATTGTTCTTTGAAGTGCAAAATATTTGTCATTGTTTTAAACACCACAGTTCATGCGCAATACAGTGGTCCCTCGTTTATCGCTGGGGATCCGTACCCTGAAGCCGTACCGTATACCGTATTTTCCGGTGTATAAGTTGCAGTTTTTTGCATAGATTTGTCAGCCCTGTGACATATACGCTGAAGCAACTTATATACGTTGTTTTTTTTTTTTCCAAATTCGTAACGCAATATTTGACTGATGCTTTAAATTTCTAAGAACTGCAACAGCGAGTCCTCCCGTGCCCACTTGCTTCACTCAGCTGGTGCAGGCGGAGGAACGCTGGAGAGCTCGCAGCTCCAGCCGCGATGGATGGATGAACGGCGCTGCGCTGCCAAGACAAAATGAAGCCGTTTTGACCATTAAGTAAACGCATAATAAATGCAACTTATACGTTGAAGTGACTTGTATGTTTTTTTCTTCTTCTTGATGCTTTTTTTTACTGATGCGACTTATACTCCAGAGCGACTTAAACACCAAAACAATGGTATATTAAGGCATTTTAAACAATGTTTCTAAACTCTAAACGCTCTAAAAGACACAAGCCATGATTTCAGCTCCCTGCCTCCTCTGCTCTCAGCCACCTGCAAGAGTCCTTGGCCACGCCCATTTCTGCGCTCTGCACAGTGAACAGCTGATCAGCTGCAGGAGGAAGTTTATCCAGGGCTGCACAAATGTGCAGGAGGTGCTAAACAATTTTAAATAATTTATTTCAAATAAAAATTCCATGCCGATCGTGCAGCTCATCCATCAATCAACCAAATGTGTGTCATGTCCAATCTTATTTTGAAAAACCGCAATAGAGCGAGTCCGCAATAAATGAACCACGAAGTAGCGAGGGACCACTGTACTCCAGGTATCAAATCCAACAATGTTCAGTCAGGTCATGTGGACGGTTTATTTTTTTGCCAAGACGTTTCGTCCTTCATCCAAAGGACTTCTTCAATCTGAGGAGCCACCAACAAACAAAACTGATTCCCACAAACAGCACATTCCAAAGTAGGAAAAAACAGTTTGCTGGTGCTAAGATGGCCTCCGGGGCCCGCCCTCTCCCCCATCACTCCATTTCCACTGTGGAATGTGCCGTTTGTGGGAGTCAGTTTTGTTTGGTGGCTCCTCAGATTGAAGAAGTCCTTTGGATGAAGAGCGAAACATCTCAGCAAAAAAAAATAAACTGTCCAGATGACCTGACTGAACTTTGTTTGATTGCTTTAAAGTTTCCATAATTATGCCATTTCCTCATAATTTCAATAAAACATATATAAAGATATATTTCAGATGTTTTGGCCGACATTCATAACTTTAAAGATGACCTGCCAAGAACACATGGGTGGAGACTGACTGGACATGTGAGAGCAGCATGATGAGAGGACTCACTGGACCAGTAACCAGTTCCTCAGGAGAGGAGCTGGAGGAGGAGGAGGAGGTTGAATGAGCCAGCGAAGCTTTCAGTCACATCCTCCTCTTCCTGTACGGACACCAGCTGAATAAAGATACACGAGCAGAGATAAACGGGAAGAGTCTGGATGCTGACCTTGCCCTGACATTTATTATCTACTTTCTATCCCATGACTCAAAACTTGGGAGTTCTGCAAGGATAACAAAATGTGCCGTTTTAACATTTTTAGGAAAGAACTCTTCAAACCTGAACTTTGCTCCGTGAGGACTGAGTGTGTTTAGATAGAGCTGTTTCACGCTCCTCCTACTGACTAGATTTAGTTTTATGCATTTAAGTCTGGTGATTACCACCACCAGTTTAAGCAAGTAAACTTTATTTTTATAGCACTTTTCATAGATAAAATCACAAAGTGTTATACAGAAATACAGATACAGACTTAAAATAAAACAAAAATAGTAAGAACAGCTGATAAAAACAGTAAATAAAACATTTAACTAAAAACTTGTCTGAGTAATAATGCTGTTTTTTAAAGGAATCAACAGAGACGGCCACACGAAGAAACAGGGGCAGGGCATTCCACCACCTGGGGGCTACAGCCTGAAAGGTCACCCCGAGTTTTAAACCGGGTCTTGGGGACCTTTAGGAGGTTCAGCGCTGAAGACAGAAGGGTGCGGGCTGAAGAATCAACATTTCAGTGATGTATTGGGGGGCCTGTCCATTTAAATCTCAAAAAGTTAAGAGCAAAATTAATTTAAAATTAATAAATTCAACAGGCACCCAATGAAGAGAAGATAGAACTGGTGTAATGTGGGACCTTCTATTAGTTCCTGTTGAAAGCCTCGCAGCAGCGTTCTGGACCAACTGGAGACGAGCGACGGCAGATTTGTTGAAACAAGTAAAAAGGGAATTACAATAATATAAATGCGAAGAGATAAAAACATGAATAATCATCTCCAGGTCAGATTTGGATAACGTTGCCCTCAATTTAGAAATATTTCTCAGATGATTAAAAACTGTTTTTTACCAGAAGCTTCGAATGTTTTTCCAACGACATGGACTGGTCGAACAGAACACCGAGGTTTCTGAGGCTCAGCTGAGAAGAGGAGCCCAGAGAACCGAGGTGTTGCTTGATCCAAGGAACTTTCTGTTCAGGAGCAATGATCATGATCAAGGTTTCAGTCTTGTTAGAATTTAACTGAAGGCAGTCGTTAGCGAGCCAGGCCTTAATGTGTGAAACACATTTTACTAATTCAGATAACGTGTGTGAATTATAGAAGGAACAGTACAGTTGAATGTCATCAGCATAAAAATGGTAAAACACATTACTGAAGCTTCTGATAATCATTCCAAGGGGGGTGATGTATAGAAGGAACAGAATGCCACCTAAGACTGAACCCTGAGGAACACCATACAGTAACGGAGCGGTCTTAGACTGTGTGTAATTCACAAACATGGAAAAGGTTCTGTTGCTCAGATAAGAGGAAAACCACTTAAGAACAGTTCCAGAAATCTACTCATTTTGCAGTCGATGTAGCAGAATTTTGTGGTCGACTGTGTCAAAAGTTGACGACAGATCCAATAAAATCAAAACACTGCACCAACCAGAACCTGCAGCCATCAATATGTCGTTAAGGCTTTTAACAAGGCAGTTTCAGTAGAGTGCATCTTACAGAAACCAGACCCGAACTTGTCCAGAACATTATTACTTTGCAAGAAAGTAGTCAACTGCCCAGCCACTAACTTCTCCAGAATTGTGGCGAGAAAAGGCAGTTTTGAAATTGGCCCGTTGGCAAAGCTCAGTGGTGTCCAAACTGGGCTTTTTCAAGATAGGACTTAAAACTTTTTGTTTTAAAGAACATGGAACTGACCCGGTTATATGGGCTGACAATATCAGACACTTTTAAAAACAGTGACGTGGGCACAACATCTAGGAAGAAGTTTGATCTGTTTTAGAGCAACCTTCACATCCTGTAAGTGACGGGTGTAAATGAGGACCAGGAGCTCACTGTAGAGACAGCACTGGGGACGTCACAAGGAGTTGATTTTACACCTGCCCAGGTATCGTCAACCTTTTCAACAAAATAGTTTAAAAATCTGTTGCAGTCATCTAATGTGAATACAGAATCAGAGGGACTGAAGGTGAAACCATATTATTATGAATAACAACAAAGTCCATGCTCATTAATCCAGGTATACAATCCAACATTTTTCAGCCAGGTCATCTGGACAGTTTCTTTTTTTGTGCTGAAACGTTTCACCTTCAATCCAGAAGGCTTCATCAGTCAAGGAAACACACAACACAAAACTGATTCTTCCCCCAACAGCTTATCCAAAGTGGAACAAACCAGGCATATTATAAATGGTAACAAACAAGACTTTTGGATTTTTATTTATTTATACTCATAAGATAAGAAAAATATGCAGACCTGGTCTGTTTAATAATTTCATTTAGAGTTGAGATCAGATCCTTTAAGTCTAGTCTGTGGACTTCAAGTTTTGTAGATTTCCATAAATGCTCCACCTTACGACATGATCTCCTGAACAACATAATTTCCTCGTTTCTCAAAGGACAAGAGTTTTTAGGAGAGGATATTTTTGTGCTTTACAGGAGGAACCTCCTTTAAGACAGACAGGCATTTAAGCAGACAGACAGACTATTAAAAGACTGGACAAAAGAATCAGCACCACTGCAACGAACAACAGGTCTCACTTGTAAATGAGTCTTCGAGGTTCAATGTGATTTATCAAATAAAGGTTTAATGAAAAAATAAAACAATTGGGCTGAAACGATTCTGAGAATTTCTCAACAGCAGTTTGACTGATTATTCACCTTTGAGAAATCACTTTAGAGGACGGCTGTTGAGGTTAAAAGACAAATTAAAATACAAACGGCAGCGGTCGGCGACAGGAACGTCCACAACACTCAGCGACAAGGTCTAAAGTATGGCCTTCCTTATGAGTAGGCCCAGAAACATGCGGTTTAAAATGAAACAACGCTGTGAGAGACAATAACTCTGATGCTACATTGCAGGATGAGTCATCAATATGAATGTTAAAATCTCTTAAGAATTAAAGCTTTCTCAAGCTTAATAACAGAAGATAAAAATTCAGAAAAATCCTCTAAAAACGCACGGGCAGGACCAGGAGGTCGGTAAATTAAAGCACAATAAAATGAGTCAGTGTTCCCGACCTTAGTCATCTGCAGCTACAAAGAGCTGGAAGGATCTGGCTTCATGAGCCTGCAGGAAAAGCAGTCCTGATAGAGGAGAGCAAGTCCGCCACCACGCCTGGCAACCCGCGGGGTCCCAAACACGGAACAGTTCGGAGGCACAGCTCATTCAAATGAACATATTCCTGTTCCTGCTGCCAAGTCTCCGTCAAGAACTTAAAGTCCAGACTTTCTTCCTTGAACAAATCCCCAAGGATAAAAGCTTTATTCGCTACGAAGCGAGCATTCAACAGGGCGATCCGTGTTGGTTTTACGTGCTCAGCCGCAGGTGCACTCTGGACTACCGGACATCGCGGCGGTGAACGAGCTCCGTCCACATACCTCTCCTGGAAGGAGACAGTTGGCAGGAACCGCTCTCGCAGTGTGGGGAGCCGGGCTCGACGAGTTGGGAAGGTCCGGTCAGAGTGTCACAGGGTCGGTGACGCACAGGACTGGGAAGGCGCACAGAACCAGTTCACATATTGGTACCGTCTGGAGGCAGCGCTCATAAAAACCGGACCTGCTCAGTCATGGTATTTTCCCTCGTTGTTTCCTAATCCTGGTTCTGGACACCTGCTCTGGATCCCTGCTTCCTTCTCCGGCCTCGGCGCTTTGCCAGCAGCAGGTACTCGGGTGATGATGTGGTGCATTCAAAACTTGGAGGGAAAAACTCTGCACACCTGGCCCAGGTAGCGCAGGCATCCTCCATATGATCCTTTATGCAAAATAACGTGTCGATCATATTGATACTGATTAACAACCAGAACACAGTTGGCTGACAGGCTGCATGAATCAAAATAAAACACTAAACAAAATCACAAGAATGTGAGAGAGACGAGACGGAACAGAAGCCGAGCCGTTCACAGGCGCCATCTTCCAGGAAGTTGCGTCACTTCTCTCGTCTCTCATCATTCTCTCCATCTGAAAAACTGTTACAGCAACATTTAAAACCAGTAAGTTTTAATTTTGTTGACAATTTTATTTGGTCCTCTTTTAGAAATCACACTGTCACATCTCTAAGTGTGTTAAACTGTCCATTAACATCATGTCCTCTGAGAACAGGAGCAAATAAAAACTCCCACAGCAGCACAACATTCTCAGACGGGAGATAAACCAGGGGTTTTCTATACCACTCAGTTCATTACCAGTTTATGTCTTGACAGGTTAACGTTATAATTCACAGTATTCTCAAGCACTCTGCTTTTACTGGACTATAAAGCTGTTCTGTGTGGTAATCATAAAAAACTGTGTCAACAGCCCCACCTTCAGCAAATGTTTGGTGTATAAATAAAGTTGTACTTCTTTCCAACATAAATAATCACGCTCATCTCCTCCACTCTTCAACAAAGACATTCTTTACATTCCAAAGTGCTAACAACCAAAAATAATGCAGCTAAATATCAATAGATGCTTATGAGCAAGAACCGTGTTTAACCTCTGCGTTTTAATTAGTTTTCGTTGCTAACCTTTTTTAACAAAACACATTATCAGAAGTTTTGTGTGTCCTCACTGAAGTCTTCAGTTTGAAGACCAAGTTCTGGTTTGAAAAGGAAGCATGGAGCAGAAATACCAAAGTGATGACATCACCATGAGGTTAAACGGAGGCTCATCTGGTCGAGTCATAATGCTGTCCTGCATGAGCAGGCTGGCTGGCCTGACTAACGATGAGACCACGAACACAGTATTTACATCCTCATTGTGCCAGATGAGGCTGCGGGCCACCTTACCTCTCCTTGCAGAGTTTTGGTGGTCTTCATCAACTCCTCTAGCTCCTGTCCTCGCTCCTTCAGGAGCCTCTGCAGCTCCGTCAGCTCCCGTCGGTTCTTCTCTTTATAAATATTAATCTGCTCCTGCAGCTCTCGAGTGGACGTCTGAGACGCCTCCACGATGTCATTCATCTGCAGGAAGACGGAAGGAAAGAGGCTGAAGATGTGTGGACAATTAGAGCGGTGGTGATAATAAGGTCAGCCTTGATGTGAAAATCCTCCAGGATTTTATGTTTTATATCATTTTATATTTAAAATAGACGTTTTAAATTGCTTCAAAATTTATATATTACCATATTTAATCTTAACATGCTAAAAAAGTTTTAAATCAATAATACCTACAGAACAAGGTCATTTATAGGCTTATATGTTTTTCTGTGTGTTGAGTCTTAAAAATGTATTTCTTGTTTTTGTTTCTGATGTATGCCAGTCAGATTCAATGTTATAAAAGAAAAAACAAACAAACAATGAAATACCGTAATTTCCGGACTATAAGTCGCTACTTTTTCACACACTTTGAACGCCGCAGCTTATACAAGACTGCGGCCAATTTATGGATTTTTAGTATTTTTATTTTTTGACAGGAAGCAAGTAATGATAATGGATTGATGGGCTAACGAGCCCGGGCGCTCACATAGATGTCTCTCTTGGGGGGTGGGTCCTTGTGACTCGAGATTACCTATATGGATAAAGGTAAAAAACAAATAAATAAATCTGACCAATGAACTTACCAAACAGGTCACAGTGGGAAGGACGATTTATTTGCAGTGAATCGTGCTTTAATGTGGCGCTCCGAGCTCAGCTTGGACGACTGGCAAGAAATCGTTTACCAAAACTGGCCATATGCGCCGAGCACGCTTTGCTCCAGTCTGATCTGCCAGTGGATCCACAGCGGAGCAGTGTCAAAAAAAAAACCTCTATCACAAACGGGTTTTGAAAGACTGCTGCGTGACGAAGAGGACAGCAGCGCAGGAGGAAGATGAAGGTAGCGTCAGTGACTTCCTGGTAAGTTACAATTTTTTTTAACCAGCCATGTTACAGGCACTGTTCAGAAAAAAAAACTTTTACTGTACGTATTTGTGTATGTTACCGGTACATATTTAATTAAAAGTTTTAAAAATCTATCTGTGTCTCATGTTACAACGAAGACACCTGCGGCTTATAGACAAGTGAGGCCTATATTTGTCAATAGAAATATCAAAACAAGTATGTTCTTGTTATATATGGCATCTTGATTTGAACGTTTATAACTTCTTTCATGTGACTTTAATTGCTTTTTGTTGAATTATTGTTGTCTGTACTTTGTATGTTGTCTGTCTAAAAACAGGTCTCTCTTGAAAAGGAGTCCTCGGGACTCAACGAAACTAACCTGTATAAATAAAGGTTGAATGAATTGAATAAGTACAAAATTATTATTATTTATTACTTAGTGGGCGTGGCTTATATTTGGGTGCGCTCAATAGTCCAGAAATTACAGTAAATAAATATGAATTTTGTTTAAATTAAAACCAAATGATTAAAGGCTTTTTGACGAGTGAGAATCAGATCCAAACTGAAGTGGATCACATTAGATTTTTTTTTTTTACCCGTTAGATGAATGTTTAGTAAAAACTCAGGTATTCTGACCTCCTTCTGAAGTTTTTCCACTGTACGGTCTAGGAGCTTTCTCTCATCCTCGATGCTGTTCTTCATGTTTTTGAACTGCTCCTTCTGAGTCTTCTCTTCTTGTAATCTCTCCTCCAGCTCCTTGTGTTGACTGCTCAGTTTGGAAAAGCTCCTCTATAAAAAAAAAGACATTAAATAAACGTGACAAGCGGTTCATTTAGTCCACATTCAAAACTGAGCAGTGCCGTTACTCTTACCTGCACATCCTCCAGCCGGAGAGTCAACGCTCGGTTGGCACGTGACATCTCCTCTTCTTGCTCCTTAATTTCACCCAAAGACTCTTCCAGTTGCTTTTTGTCTCTCTGTAATTCAAAGATGACCTCGTATAAAACTTGTTTTATACACAAAAGCATACAGACCAAACTAAAAGTAGAAATATTTTCAGTTCTGCAGCTGAAATCCATTTTTGTTGTCGAGTCCTCACCTCCAGCCGGACGACTTTGTCTCCCAGCCTGATCTCCTGTAGCTTGGCCTCGTCGATGATCCGGTTGAGTTTGGTCACCTCGTTTTCCAGCTCATTCGTCTGCCAGCGCAGCCGCTCAATTTCTTGGGTCAGCCGCCCTGCTTGGCCTTCCGCTGCCCCCATGGCCGCCTCCACATCAGCCTTTTGTTGAACCACCACTGCGCTGCTCTGCAGAAACAGAACAATGAACTTCAGATCAAAAGGAGCAGAAGTCTGTGACTCTCAACGCACAGCAGAACTAAGATGCATGATGGAACATCTCAAAAACCAGGTAACAAAAGGTTTTTGTAGCGCAAGGCCTCTCTCTTTGTAGTTGCAGAGACGCTAAAGAACAATGGCTTCCTGTAATTCTTCCACACTTCATAATAAACCCTAACATAACCGAAGGTAACCACCTCCGAGCTTTTATTGACGTCTGCTGATTGAGGACCCTCTAAAAGTCAGCAGACGACGACACCGTGACCTCTTTTAGTCCTGGAATATTCAAATGCTCTTTAAAGACGTTAGTGTGCACTTGTAGAAAGATGTAATGAACTAGAGGCCTAGCATCCCCTGAAGGAGTGCCTGCCGCCTTTCATTTTAGATCAAGACAACACCAGGGGTCATTTTACAGCTGTTTTGCTCAAACTTTGTTGATGACTCTCAGCTGCTGATGGAGCTTTGCCACCGTCTCAGCTCTCATCTGTTCCGCACCACACCGCACCAGTTAAGGGCCTGCCCCACTGCCGGCACCCACCCCCACTCAGCCCGGTTTATGGAACCACCTTGTTCGTGGCTCCAAGCAAACCGCACCGAGGTAACGATTTTGACAAAAGCAGACAGAGGTCGTTGATTGTCCATGTAGCTACGTCACTGGACGACCTGCCCAGCAAAACTGCAAACTACACCTGAACCTCCATTTCCTCTCTGATCGTGTCGAGTGTTGCTTTTGCAAGTTTCTGGTACGGAAGCTCCAAAACGGTGCCCTGGACCAATGATAAGGTCCAGACCTTCCTAACTTTATTGGCCGATGTTAGAATTTAGCGTGAGCTGGACGGTGCTACAACGAATGAGCGCATTTCGAGGCTCAATGAGACTAACCTGTATAAATAAAGGTTGAATTTTTTTTATTTATTACAGAGATATATCAGAGATGATGATGCAGCATGACTACACCTGGACTTTTAAGCAGTGCTGGGTTAAGCTAAAGAAATTAAAGTCGAAATATGGCGAATAAGGACAACAGGCGGAGTGGCTCGAACACAATGGCCAGTTATGACGACGCCCACTTTGCGTCGACGATCTCGCCCAGAGAGCCGGGAAACGCGTCACAGTGGCAAATCACCTACACCTGAGAAGAACCGATAAGACGGGGGCCGAGTGGAGTCGCACTTTTCAATGGCAAAGAGGATTAACACACCAAGTTTAGTTCAGCATCAGTAAAATTTACTAAAGTATTGATTAGCTGTGGTGGAAATCTTGAATTGGATCGACTCCAAAAGTTAATCGGTTGTATTCGTACATCCAGTGATTACTTTCTGACAGTTTTATTAAAATATATTCAGTTCCTACAGTTGATGGTAAAGTTTTAAAACTGGTCTTAAATAATCAGTCATTGCTCTGAGCAAGTTTGGGATGAGTCTCAGCTACAACCACAGCAAATCTTAGCTTAATACCTGTAAAATTGACAGTTAAATATATTAAAATTAAAGTAAAATAGAGTAGCCATGTTTGTGTTTGCCAAGCTGCGACAGCCGTTTCAAACGGGGGTGAGTCAAAAAGTTAATCCGATGTAGACGTACACCCAGTGTCCAATTTGAAACTTTCATTCAAATCTGTGCAGTGGTTCATGTGATATTTATCTAACACCACAGGAAAAAAAACCACAAGGGCAAAAGAGTTACTGTTCTGCTCTCGCCTTGGTCGGCGGGCGATAATCTGAAGTACTTGCGTCAACGTGGTGTGTTCAGGACAGAAACTGAAACGCACGTTTGTAGAAAACAAGACAGGAAGTAAGAAAACTGATCACACAACTTGATACGTACAAGAAGTGACAGGTGTCGGAGGCGACACCCTCGTGGTTAATTACAACGTGGGAATGCAACAGGTGTGATTTGTTTGAGGTCATGAAGGTGGAATGTTCAACAACTGGTTTGACTGTTCAGGTCGTGTCCGTGCAGCTAGAAGACACCAGCAGATCCAGAATTACTGAATCCACCTGTAAAATGTGTCCGTGTGGACGGAAAACTGCTGAAAGAAGTGAAATAAATGCTAAAACCTTAAGAAATTCATTGTGTGGAGACGTTCATGACGTTTCATGTCTTCTCTGTGCACAGGCTCTTAGTTAAGATACACACACACACACACTGGTTGATAAGCTGATGAAAAGAGGTATAGAGGATGTTTCAAAGCAAACAGTAGTGATCCACGCAGTGAAGCCTCAAGTTTTACAACAGAAAATAATTATAGAGGATTTTATGTTTTACTGCATTTTATATATAATTCAATAAAAAAAAGTTAAGTCACGTCATCTGGACAGATTCAATACATCAGGACATTCAAATCAATTCAGTTTATTTCTACAGCTCCAAGTCCCAACAGAAGTCGTCTCAGGACACTGAACAGAAACATTTACATACTTTATAAAAGATTATTTAGTAAAAGTTCTGTATCTCAGGAAGCAGCGGATTGTGTCGAGTCTTCACTTCGTCACAGTCTCTCATCCTGAGCGAGCACAAAGGAGACAGCGGAAAGGAAAAACTCCCTTTTAACAGGAAGAAACCTCGAGCAGAAACAAGCTCAGGACGAGCGACCATCTGCTTCGACCGGCTGGGTTTGAGAGGAACAGGAAGTAGAAACAGACGAACACAGAATGATGGTCCAGGTGGACTTTCTATAGGAGGAAAGATAAAAACATGTTAAGATAGAAATAATTACAGATACAAACAGGTAGAGCAAGTAAAGACAGCAGCAGAGAGAGGTGTGGTCAATGTGTCCTCTATCAGTCTATGACTAAGGGATGGCTCAGGAAACCCAAGCCAACCCTAACTATAGGATTTATCAAAAAGGAAAGTCTTAAAACTGGACAATGTGTCAGCCTCACAGACAGAAACTGGAAGTTGGTTCCACAAGAGAGGAGCCTGATCACTGAACGATCTCCATCCCATTCTGCTTTTGGAAACTCTAGGAACCACAAATAAACCTGCAGTCTGAGAGCAAGGTGTTGAGTTAGGAAAACATGGAACAATAAAATCGGTATCTACTTGTGAAATATGAGCTAATCTGTTTTAGCTACAGCACTGTAGCTGACAGCAGCGGGACATTTTTGGACAAACCTTGTAGAAAGAGAAACTTTGTATCTGCCGGTAGAAATTAAATGCAGTTTTTACGTGACTGTTGCATCCACACATTTCCAACCTTTACTAATCTTTTTGTAAAAAGCGTGTTGGCTCGTGTTATTGTTGTGTGAGAAGTGGAAAAAGATGGTGAATAAGGAATGCCTCTGTGCTCCGGTGCCTGCAGGCCAGTCGGACCTGTTTGTGCCGTCATTACGGAGCCGCCCTCATCGCTACTTCACCAGGACACGGTCAAACACGACAGCACCTCAGAGCACACTCAGAACCGACAGTCCTTTGCTTCACTTCCCAAGATTATCCAAACAAATGACAACTTACGTGAGACGACAAAGAGTGGACACGAGTTCAGCCTTTAAAGTAAAACCATAAAGTGCAAGAAGAACCCGTCCAGAGGACCCGACATCACAACAGAGTTATTTCACACTTGATGTAACATCATGCTTCATCTCATCTTCACTAAACCACCAGAAATTAGCCATAAAGAATTAAATCATCAATATCCGCAGCAAGTTGTGCATTTAGATGCTTAAATTTTTACATTCTGCAATAAATCTGGTTTTAGTTATGCACTAAATATGTAAAGGGAGCGCTTCACGAGGGAGGAACTGGGGCGCTGTTTAAAGTGGGGATTACCACAGCAATAACTGTTATAATGAAAACAATAGCAGAGTACCATTTTTACAACGCAGAAACCAGTCCTCCACCCCCCGTCCCACGTTAACTCAAATGTGTCCAAACTGTGGACAAAGCCGCTCAGCCAGGAAGAAAACTAAACCCGTTGCTGCTGATGAGGGGAAGAAGAAACATTTCCCTCATTTTAGAGGAAACATCTTTTACACGAAGGTTTCGTTTTGTGACGGTTTACCGAACCTTTTTAACGCTCTGACGCTTTCAGAACACAAACCTCAGCCGTCCAACGTTTATACTGCTTCAGTAAAAAGTCAATTTAAAAACTATTTTAAAAAATTCATGTAATTTTTTTTTTTTTCCAGCCAGCCTCTAATTATTTTCATCCATCCATTTTCTTTATCGCTTGAGCCCTTTGTGGGTCATAAACAGCTAGTGTCCATCTCCAGCAGTCACTGTGAGAGGAGCGGGGGACACCTGGACAGGTCTCCAGTCCACCACTGGGACACCTGGACAGGTCTCCAGTCCATCACAGGGACATAGAGATAAACAAGCATTCACTCTCTCACCTAGGGACAATTTAGAATTACCAATCAGCCTAACCATCACTGCTCCCAACAAACTCTATAAGTATTAATGCTGATCTCTGCTATAACACACACTCTACTCTGCCTATACTAAATAGTCTGCCATTCTCAATGTTCCAATACATATTGAACATTATTATTGATATTGTTTATCTTAGTTCTTTATATATTGCTCTTAACATTTTAGGAACTTTTTGTGCGACTCTTTTTTATCTGTTGCTGCTGGTACACTTGAATTTCCCATCCGTGGGACAGTAAAGCCTGTTTCTAACATGCGTGTTTTTGGTGTGTGGGAGGAAACCGGAGTACCCGGAGAAAACCCACGCATGCACGGAGAGAACATGCAAACTCCACCCAGAAAGGCAGGGAGGCGAGCCTGCGACCTTCTTGCTGTGAAGCAACAGCTAAAACAACAGCGCTACTGTGTCACTTTTCAATAATAATAATAATAATAATAATAATAATAATAATAATAATAATAATAATAATAGTAAAAAAGACAATAATTACTTAAATACGAAAAGCATATTAAAGCCAGAAGAACTGACAAAACATAATTAGCTTTTATAAAAATTGTACATTTATTCTATTCAATACCATTCCTTCTTTGTAAAACTTC